TGATGGTTCTTATGATGGTTCTTGTGATGGTTGGGTTATATATGTCTGTTGGGTATCGTGCACTTTGGGTTATTTTCTGTTGAATTGTATTTAATTATTTTTAGTATTTTGCATTTGTTATGTTCTTGCTGTTTATGTTCTTCTGTGTTTGGTTTAGTTTGTTCTTGTTTTTGCTGTTTGTCAAAGCACTTTGTAAACCTGTGTTTTATAAATAAAGTTATTATTATTATTATTATTATTATTATTATTATTATTATTAATAATTTGTAACAAATGTTTCATGTCATGTCTTTGTAACCTGCTACTGGATGCTTTGAATTTCCCTCTGGATCAATAAAGTATCTATCTATCTATCTATCAATCTATCTAATATCATAAGTAATCAAACAACAAACACAGGGACGCTATTTGCTTAAACCGTACAATATTTTTCTAGTTTAATTCTAAATAATCTAAATGCTATTGACTCTTGCATCGTGTTTTTTTATGAGGGACAAAAAATGACTAAAGTATAAATAAATAAATTAATTAATTAATTAATAAATAAATAAATGTTGGGAGAAATGCATACAATAATGTATAGATAAATAAAAAAATGCTGAAAACAATGCATCAATGAATAAATAATAAATACACTTTGTTAATGAAAAAGGCTATTCATATATTTGTACATGTATTTATTCATTTATTAGCATATTTCTACAGTTATATATGTATCAATGCATACATTTCCACATTAATTGAGTTATTAATTTATTTCCGCATTTTTACATTTACACATCTATTTATTTCTGCGTCCAGGTCGTAAGAGGAAAAGTATATATGTAAATTTGTTTCTGTCTGTTTTTCAAAATTGACTAATCCTACTTCAGTTATGTTAGGACGGCCCACTTAATTTACATATTTACTTTTCCTTGTACAACATGGACACAGAAATACATAAATAAATATATGAATATATTTATTTATATATTATTTTTTATATGAATTGTTGCATTTATTTATATATATATATATTTATTGATGCATTTATTTAATTATTTATACATTATTGTATGCATTTCTCCCAACATTTATTTATTTATACTTTACTCATTTTTTGTCCCTCATAAATAAATATATGAATATATTTATTTATATATTATTTTGTATATGAATTGTTGCATTTATTTATATATATATTTATTGTTACATTTATTTAATTATTTATTTATACATTATTGTATGCATTTCTCCCAACATTTATTTATTTAAACTTTACTCATTTTTTGTCGCTCATAAATAAATATATGAATATATTTATGAATATATTTATTTATATATTATTTTGTATATGAATTGTTGCATTTATTTATATATATATTTATTGTTACATTTATTTAATTATTTATTTATACATTATTGTATGCATTTCTCCCAACATTTATTTATTTATACTTTAGTAATTTTTTGTCCCTCATAAATAAATACATGAATATATTTATTCATATATTATTTTTTATATGAATTGTTGCATTTATATATATATATATATATATAGATGCATTTATTTATTTATACATTATTGTATGCATTTCTCCCAACATTTATTTATTTATTTATACTTTAGTCATTTTCTGTCCCTCACAGTTTTTAACCACTGTTACTAATAAAAACGTCTCATTGAACCAGTAGTAATAGCAGGCTTCGTCCACTGGGGGGCGCTGTCTGCTACACTGGCTCACAGCTAACAGAAGCTGGTTTGTTCATTTTGCTCCGACGCTGCTGGAAATGCCTCTAAAGGTAAACGGACTCTGGCTTTACCTCGAGAAAACAGCTTTGTAGAGCAAAGTTTCTGGGAGTAAAAAAAGTTCTCGGACGTGCTTTGAGACGAGTCGTGGAGCAGGATAAGTTATTTTGGACATTTTGGATGAGGATTTATTTTCCGCCTTTGAAGCTCGCAAGTTTAGACAGCTAACAGCTAACACCGACTTTTGCTAACGTTAGCCTAGCCTAGCCTAGCCTAGCCTGCTAGGTAAATATCACCTAACGCCTTTCGGTTCTTCCTCCTGCTGTCTCCACTTTATCAACAACTTTAGTATTTCTAAGTGTTTTGCTGTTTTTTTCCTGTCCTCATAGTTCGCGCCTCGCCAGCAGAATGCGTCTCTTTTTGCTACATTACACACAATGCTAACTTAGCTTCAGTTAGCATGCTCTGATAGAAGCTAACAGCGACTTCCACGGGAGATCTTCTGCTGCGCTCCCCGCGACGTTACCCAGCCCGTGTTGTTTCAGAGCGGTCATGTTTGAGATGGAGACACACATTTCGTGCCTTTTCCCGGAGATCCTGGCGATTATCTTCAGTTATCTGGAGGTTAAGGACAAAGGGAGAGTAGCCCAAGTGTGCGCGGCCTGGAGAGACGCGTCCTACCACAAGTCCGTGTGGAGGGGGGTGGAAGCCAAGCTGCACCTCAGAAGAGCCAACCCGTCTCTGTTCCCCAGCCTGCAGACCAGGGGCATCAAGAAAGTCCAGATCCTGAGCCTGAGGCGCAGTCTGAGCTACGTGATCCAGGGGATGCCTCACATCGAAAGCCTTAATCTGTGCGGGTGTTTCAACCTCACGGACAACGGACTGGGACATGCCTTTGTGCAGGACATCCCGTCCCTGCGGGTACTCAACCTCAGCCTTTGTAAACAGATCACCGACTCCAGCCTGGGGAGAATCGCCCAGTACCTGAAGAACCTGGAGGTGCTTGAACTCGGGGGTTGCAGTAACATCACAAACACGGGGCTGCTGCTCATCGCTTGGGGTTTGCACCGGCTCAAGAGTCTGAACCTGCGCAGCTGCAGGCATGTGTCCGACGTGGGCATCGGTCACCTGTCCGGTATGACCCGCAGCGCCGCAGAGGGCTGCCTGTCCCTGGAGAAGTTGACCTTACAGGACTGCCAGAAGCTCACCGACCTTTCCCTCAAACACGTCTCAAAGGGGTTAAACAAACTCAAAGAACTCAACCTCAGCTTCTGCGGAGGGATATCTGACGCAGGCATGATCCACCTTTCACACATGACCCACCTGTGCAGCCTGAACCTGCGGTCCTGTGACAACATCAGTGACACGGGGATAATGCATCTGGCCATGGGCTCCCTCCGGCTCTCTGGACTCGACGTCTCCTTCTGTGACAAGATAGGAGACCAGAGCCTGGCGTACATAGCTCAGGGGCTGTATCAGCTCAAGTCCCTGTCCCTGTGCTCCTGTCACATCAGCGATGACGGCATCAACAGGATGGTACGCCAGATGCACGAACTGAAGACACTCAACATCGGACAGTGTGTGAGGATCACAGACAAAGGGTTGGAGTTGATAGCTGACCACCTGACCCAGCTGACCGGGATCGACCTATATGGTTGTACTAAGATCACCAAGAGGGGTCTTGAGAGGATAACGCAGCTGCCGTGCCTTAAAGTGTTAAATCTGGGACTGTGGCAGATGACTGAGAGCGAGAGAGTGAGGTGAAAATCTCTCCTGATGTGTATAGAGCTCGGTGGTGTACTGAGCGGGTCTGCCTGTATTCATTCTTCATTTTTACTTGTGACTCAAAACCAAGGAGGGGGGACTCTGCATTGATCACTGGAATATTGCTGCAATACTCCATTTTCTTATTCATAATAAGTGTCGGCCTTGTGCTCGCTCTCTTTTTTCATGTGCATTGTTTTAATCTCAGCCTGTGTACAGTTCTTACTCTCTAGCTACCTCACCTGTCAAACACAGGAGTGCCTACTATCGCTGAATACTAAATAACTTGCATATTTTTGTGACTTACAAACTGGAGATTTTTGATATTTTAAGGTCTCGTTGAAGAATAACAGTTAGTAGGTGTTTAACCATTAACAGAAAGGCCGGAGGACCTTGGACTACATTTTTGGATGTCTCTCTGGCTGATATAAGTTTTTCTTGTGTAACCAATATTTTTTTGTATTGAATGACTGTTGTTGACAAAATTGTGCTTCAAATTGAAGTGGTTGGATCGCTCCTGTCTCTCTTTGTTTACCTAATGTATAGTTGGCTTTGTTTCATATTCCTGAGGAAAATAAGTATGATTGCTACTCCTTCTAAAAGGGTTATCAACAGAGCTACAGTAAGGCGTAGTGATTCACAGCTGCCAAGGCTTTATGCAATACCTTAAAAACTGTTTATCAGTGTTTTTTCTCCTGAGGAGCTTCCAACAATAGTGTCAGAGTATTTGTTTAAAAAAAAGCAGTAATTTAATATCGTTTTATATTCATACAGTAGTGATATTTATGAATAAAGATGGCAATTATGTTTCAGTTTTTTGTATTTTGAAGTTGTTCACTGTTTGATTTGTTTTATATTTAACTAAAGAATAGATTTGCTCTTTTACTTAATACTCCACAGCTTCACAGTCATTTTCATGTAGATACGAGACAAGATAATCAGATTTCTTTCATTTCTTTTAGTCAAACATGTTAAGATGGGGAAATAAATCATGTTTTTTTTAGTCAAAATTAAGCACAACAGTCACACATACTCCCTATTTTATTTGAAACAAATCTCTTTGTTGATGATTTTAGATATACAGTATACCCCTTTAACATATAGAGGTGGCATATTTATGGAGAGGGTTTGATGCTTGTGTGATTCCAGCCGGGTTTTTAACTGTTTCTGATCCGGGGTTGCAGACACTTGCATCTTATGTCAACAAATATAGAAATGTCTTATAGGAATAAATTAAACATAAAAAAACCTCCCATAGGCAGTTTAAATGATTTTTTAAATGTCATTAAGTCCTGATTGTTATTGGGATAAGTTCATCTTTTATTGATCCCCAGAAGAGAAGTGTTTGCATCAGATAAAAAAAAAAAAGTGTTACAATTTCAAATGTGTTTTTCTAAAAGACAACTACGGGTAGATGTAACATGTTTTTTCCCCCCTTTAAATCCAATTGATTCAAGCTTTGCATGTGTTGTGCTTCTCTTCAAACTGGTTAAAGAACATAACAATCAAGGCTTATAATTTATTTATTTACATTCATACAAAATCCAAATAACTCACAAACATGTCTGTTTTAGCTTTCTTTTTTTACACAATATGATTCTTAACACGAACAGACAGAAGGCAGTACATTTCTCATACCAATTCAAAACAAAAAGAAACTTAATAGCATGAAGTTGACAGAAGCCCCTGAATCGGCTCTGTGTTCCTCAATAAGGAGTGGTGAAAGGAGATGACGAGACGTTAAGGCGAGGGCGGGAGAACACAGGCCAAAGTAAGGGGAACAAAACACTTCTTTTGAACCCAACTGTGTAAGTTTTGGGGGTTTAAAAGGGACACAGAAATTAATCTTCACTTAGAAGTTTGAAAGACAACAAGCACAAAAAAAGCATCCAACTAACATCCTCTGGAAACAGGTCTGTGTTTTGTTTTTATTTTAAAACTAATGTTACTCCAACCACGCACTAATCTAAATTAAACCCCCAAAGGAGACTTGTTAGAGCACTCCCTGACGCAGTTTGTTACCGTTTTGTTTTACTCTGTTGTGATGGAACGGCAGAAGAGCCATGAGAGTTGGAGACCTATTTTTTATCCATCAGGCTGCCATTGACATCAACAAAAAACAAAAACATTGACATAAAGAAAAGACAACACTGAAATGTCAGGAGGATAATACATTTACATCACCATATGGTGAAAACAACATAAAAAATGACCATTAGAAATAAATGCAAGAACTGTACTCTCCCATCACACAGTCACGGTTTGAAAACATTTTGTAGTTCACACGTTATTTTTGACACAAGATTTTTGACACTTCTCTGCTCAGTTTGTGCTGAGGACACGAACTCCACGGCCATTTTTGTTCAGAGCAGCGTGCTCCTCGAGATTCTGTGCAAACATTCAATGCATATCCATACAGTAAACATTTTCATATATATGTATTATATTTTTATATATATATATCTCTATAGAACATGACTTTCTGCAAATTATGGCAGTACTGTCACACACACACACATTTTGTCCTGCAGACAAAATTAGACACAAAAGACAACTGCACTGCTTTTAACTTTTCTTTTTTTTTTTTTAAAGAATGCACAACACCTTCCACGTAATCACCTTTATTCAGTCACTGTACGTGTTAAATATCCCGTTATTTACAAACTGATTTAAAAAGTCAAAATCCGCACAAAAGTGACTTTAAATTTCCTGTTAACGTAGTTGCACTTAGTACTTAAAAACCTCAGCCCTGAAGATTTCACAAAAAAACAACAAGAGGCATAACTTGGCTATTTTTCAGTGATCTGAAAAAAGACAAGAAAAAAAAACAACAACAAGGAGTTACTAGTTGTTTTTTTTAAGATTGAGTCAACAAACTAAAAGGTCAGGTGGGCTTAAAAAAGTAACACCTATAAGAAACTTTGGATGTAACCGAATGATCAGCGGATCAGATTAAAAGTCCTTAACATCATGCCTTAGCACCAGTATGACAGAGAAATCCACATCCCTGTGATAGGTCCAGTACTTATCTCTGTGAATGCTCCAAGGCCACTTAGAACGCTCTCAAAATGAAACATTGCATACCTCATAAACAAGTGGACGTCATGTGCAAAACCATCTAAAAATTAATACGTCATCAAGAATAAAAGCTGTTTTCTCTCTCTCTCTCTCTCTCTCTCACACATTTGAGAACAAAGTGTAACTAAAAGCTGACTTTTTGATCCAAGGTCACGACCTCGATCCCTCTCTTAGCCACACAGGACACAGTAAAGACGTACCTACCACCTAATCCTGACTACAGCCTTGACCTGGGAGAGGAAAACATTTACACAAAACGCTGCATTTATTTGGTTTTAAGAGTGGCTTTTCCTAAGAGTTCACACCATCTGCCACCAGTAGCTGTGACTCAAGCCTCCTAGTTGTGGAACGCTACCTAAAATACCAGCAAGCATCTCTACATGGCTTCATGATTTACCCTCTGTGCTCCTGGGTTCTACGACTGAAAAAAGTGCTTTCCCGCCCCGTGTAGGAATAAGCTTCTTCCTGTTTTCCGTTTCGACTTGAAAGACCTGCGAGAGAAGAGACTAAAGGGGTCAGAGACTGAGATAAAAGGTTAGTGAGGTAACTGTGCTTGATCTTACACTTCCTGCAGTGAGTGAGGACCTCTAGGGAGAGGAAGCATGGCAGTATACTCAAAGACTTTGTGCTGAAGTTTGGTTCTTTTTATCTGAATTCCCTCTCTCTCTCCTCTAATGCACCTGTCCCAGACTTTATTTTACTTTACTACGAACAAGAAATCCAATTTGGAGAGTTCACAAATGCTAAATCAGTCAGCTTTAGAGTTTCTAAGCTGGCTTTTTCATGAACTTCTTGTATGCTCGGTTCCTGTCTGAAATGAGCACATCTGTAATTTATTTTTTTGCAAGCTCGACATCAGAGATGAATGACACAGGAAAGCACTTTAGAGTCCGAGGGGTTTTTGTTTCAGAATGGACAAAAAGGAGCGAGGCAGAGAAGCTCAGTAGGGTCTGATAAAAGTCCTCGTATCCTTCCAAGAGCATCGTCGAGTGGAGGTAGGGGCTTCCTGGGCTCAGCTACAGGTCCATGTAGAGACCAGGGCTCAGCCCCGGTTGTGTCTGAGGTTCAGAGTTGTCAGCATGACTCCTCCAGGGCGTTGACCACCTGCTCCAAGATGTCCGGGCAGTAATCGGCGATCTGCTGGAGAACAGAGTTGGCGTACTCCTGCAGCTCGCCGCTCTCCTTCTCACACACCTCAAGTTCACGCTCCAACTAGACGGGGGAAAAACAAATAAGTTGATTCATTTCAATCCTAACTGTCAAGAAAGTGACGCATTTTTAACCAGAAACTGACACATGCATCGGACAAAGATTGAGGGTTCCTCCTCTACCTGCTCTACACTCATCTTCTGGACCTCCTCCTCCCAGTCTTCGGGGTCGTTTTGGTGGTAGTGAGAAGGGGGCGTGAGCTGGCTGAGGATGCTGGGGTCCCGGTCGTGGCAGAGGTCTGTCAGGTGGGCGATGTAAAGCTTTAGCTTGCTGCGGTTCTGGGAGAGGGCTAGAAGAGGGGCGATCATCTTCGGGGGGAGAAGAGAAGAAAAAGATAATTAATTAATTTTAGCAGAGGAAGGAAGGAGACAAAAATAAATCATGTTCAACCCAAGACAGATTTTTGTTTGCATTGTCTGAACACAATGAAAGACCCACACACACAAGACTCCACTTAAATGAAAACATTTCAGAAATGAAGACAAAGAAACATCAAGGCCTGCATGCATTCATCACCATCTTCAAGTGCCTTACTTTTGTAAATATTGATTTTTTTTAAACCATCCAATGCACCTGTTTGTGTGGGTCAAAGTGTAAATGAGCTAATGATACGTTTGAGAGCAGTAGCATGCAAAGCTAAGATGCTAAATTACCGACGAGACAGAGCCGGGATCAAAACCATCTCATCCTATTAACGTGCATGCAAACACGCACAAACAATTGATCCCTGCCCTCCTTAAGCCACTTAAAGAATGAACAGTGTTACAGCACGGGATGATGAGACCTCACAGGAACACAGAGCAACAAATACAACGATCATCAAGAGGAAATGAAATGTGACAAAAAGAGAAAAATAACGAATGAAAGAAGAGTGAACATGCCACAGAGCAGTCTGATGGGTCTGGCTTTTCAAAACGAGCTCACCCTTCTGAACAAAAATGGCTGAGAGAGAGAGAGGGGGGAGGGCAAAATGTTGGCTAGGCCCAAATACCCTCCTCATCATCCTTTTAGCCACAAGGTTAGCCGATGGCAGCGTTCGAAAAAGAACATTTGGTTAGTGTGAAGGCAAAGAGGAAAACGTTCATTTCAAAATGATGTTTTTTCACATCTTCTCACAACACTCATTACTTTGTTAACTACATTCAGAAATGTTGTGACACATGTTGTGAAGTGGAGCGACTGCTGAGTTACCTGATCCGGAGAGGGTTTGTGATTTGTGTGGTCGGGGGCCGTCTTCAGATGGTCGTCCTCATAGTTGTCTGCCATCAGTTTCATTCTGTTTTGAGTCTGAAAATTTAAAAAAAAAAAAAATCACAAAAAGGAGATTTATTTCTACACTGGTTTATACAGAAGGGTTGTCCAACCAACAGTAAACAACCTGAAAGTCTCTTCAACCAGTCATGTTTGATATAGTTGCTAGAAAAGTTATTGAAACAAATAGATTATGATAATTAATTAACTTTCCCACTCTATATCAGTGTCATGAAGGAGCAAAAGTAGGTGAGTGATGCCATAAACATAAATAATTGAGGAGCCAGTTTAAGGTCAGTCATACAGAGGCTAAACATGTTGATCCATCGCTACTGGTACATCGCTGATTTATAAAGCGCTTAATGGTTCAGGGCCAAATTACATCAGTGACCTCCTGATTAATTCTGAACCATCCAGACCGCTCAGGTCGTCTGGGACAGGTGTGCTCTCTGTCCCCAGAGTCAGAACCAAACATGGAGAAGCAGCGTTCAGTTTCTATGCTCCTTATATCTGGAACAAACTCCCAGAAAACTGCAGGTCTGCTGAAACTCTCAGCTCGTTTAAATCCAGGTTGAAGACTCACCTGTTTACAGCTGCCTTTCATTAAACAGCTTTAATAAGATTTTAAACTTTAACTCTGCACTGTAACTTTTAACTCTTTTTATATTTTTACTTTATTTATTTCAATAAATTTCATTTGAATTATTTATTATTATTATTATTATTATTATTATTAACTCCCAGCATATCTACCCCATTCTGTCCTCCCAACATTTCCTCTTTCCTTATGGCTGTCTTATCAATAACGGCAAAGATGTCCAAAAACTAGTATTAAAAAAAAAAAAGACTTCATGAAAGATCTGAAGCTGGACTGGATAATGTGCACATATATATAACCGTTGTCTGGATTAGTAAGATGTAGCTGTAGCTAATATACAAATGCTCTTTATCGTCAGAAAACCCTAAATGACCCTTAAATGAAGTTTGAATGGCACTTCAAAGCTGCGTTATAATAAACTAAGATGAACTGAAATCCAATATCTGATGTCCTGTTTATTATGGTAAAACAAAGGTTTCCTGCAGAAGATATTTTGACAAGTAACATTCAGGAGATTATTTCAAGGCTCCCTGGAGGACTAGTCACTTCCCCACCTGCTGCTTCAGCTGCTGTACAAGTCTGTCTTTCTCCCGCTTCAGCAGAGCCACCTCATCCTGGGTCTTCTTCTTTTTAGAGGAGGACAACTCCAGCAGGGCAATGTTAGCGTCCTTCTCGCTGATAGCAGCCAACAGCGCCTCCTGTCTGTGAGGAGAGGGAGTGCATTGACGTGGCATTTAACCAAACCGGTCGATAGCTCAGTCATCATTTATTATTCATGCTCTAAATCATTCTGCCAGCTGGAGAAAGGCCAAAAATGGGATGACATTTTACAAGATGAAAGTGGGTAATCGATATGCCGGGGTCGACTCCACCCTACTGTGTGTGTGTGTGTGTGTGTGTGTGTGTGTGTGTGTGTGTGTGTGTGTGTGTGTGTGTGTGTGTGTGTGTGTGTGTGTGTGTGTGTGTGTGTGTCTTACTTCATCTCCAGCACCTCCTCCAGGTGTTTCCTGCGCTCAGCCCGCAGGGTGGAGAGGTGTGCCTCTTTCTCACACAGAGACTGCTGGGTGGAGGCCAGCTTAGCCCTCATGGACTCCAGCTCCTGCTTCACCTTCTCCATGGCCCCCAGCAGCTCCTCCATCTGGGAACACACACACATAAATACATGACTAACAATTAAATCATGACTAGATCATAACAGAAACCTTAAAGCATCAGGGAAGGCATGTGGCTTTTTTAAGCAAAAGTTTTTCTATAAAAAGGGGCAGCAGTATATACTGTATGTTGGCCAGTGGGAGGACTATGGGTCTTTTTAAAGGCTTTATATGTGATTTTTTTGATCCAGCAGATGTCGCCCTTGAGCACCAGCATGAAACCAAAACAACTCGCGGTGCATTGTTGTGTTAGCATGCTAATGCTAGCGATCTTTATTATGCTGGTATCTTCACACTGCATGTAAATTTACCTGAAATGAGCGTGATCTAGAAACACAGTTAAGCAGTGAGTACAGTATGTTATTCTTCTTTTCTCTAGTCCCTCAATTAAACAACTTTTATACACGAGGGAGGAGTCAGCCGGCCGTCCTGGCGATGTAAACAAAGTGAAGATAGGACTCTGAAAACTCTGAAAACATCACAGACAGTGGGACTCGGGTGTTACACCCATTGTAGACAGTCATGACTCACAGAGTTATTTTCAGAGGAGATACTTGATTTATATTACATGAAAAAAATCACATAGAAAGCCTTTAAGCACTTAAACTACAGCACTGAATTTCATTTACCTGTTATTTCTTTAAAAAAGGCACAATAGTACCATTGTTACATATTTATATATATGCTCTAATAACAATCGACTGCATGTAAGGGAGACTAAATCTTACCCCAGACTGATCAATTTTATTTGTTACTTGTTGTGCGAGCCAGCAGTTAATCAACGACATGTTTCATAATCAAACAGCAGGTAAAGAAAATATCATGGGAGTCATTACAGGCTGGAAAACAGCAACACCGTACAAAATAATGCAATCCAACAACATCAATCTCAAAGGGCCCTCGGAACGGTCAAACTTGACAAAAAGCATTTATTCCAGGGTTGTTGTTGTTGTAAAAGGAACTGCATGAAAATAATGTTCAAGTGTTGCTGTTGTTATTGTGTCCACCCCCCTGTGAGCGCCGTTGCTCACTGATTGGCGGGGTCACACACACAGAACTGGGCTCGTACCTTGGACAACTTTAAGAGGGCGAGGTTGGACTCATGCATTGGTTTGAGTGAGTGCTTCTGAGAGGCGGTGTGTAGCAGAGAGAAAACAAAGAGAAAAACAACAAGCAAAGATAAAAGAACTGAGAAAGAGACAAGAGGCCAGAGAGAGAGAGAGTGAGGAGGTGAAGAGAGGATGAAAAACACCAGAAAAAAGGGGCGAGATAGAAAGAATGTACAATTACACGATAGGAGCTTCTTTTTGTGTTTGAATATGTTTCAGAATTGTTCTGTAGGAGTGATCCTGAGTTTGTATTAGTATTGCTTTGAAATGGATGTGTGTGTTTTATGTTTTATTACACACTAAGATTTGTTTCTCATAGTCCACTGCACAGCTCCTACATTGCACCTTTTGTGTTTTTTATCATTATATTTTTAAATTCTAAATTATATATTGTAATATCTTCTTATTATGTGTTATTTAAGTTGTTGCTAGTTCTGCTTTATTTCCTTGTTAATTGTTTAGCACCAATACACCAAGTTAAATTGTATGTGTCAGTATGTCAGTATGTGTAAATGTACTGGCAATAAACCCAGATTCTGATTCTGATTCTGATTCTGAAATGGATGTGTATGTGTGTGCTTTATGCAGAGGTTTGTGTACCTGCTTCTCCTGGAGGCACCGGGCAGCCTCCTCTTGAGCTAGTACCATCTCTCGCTCTGCTGTGATCTGGACGCTCTCTCTCAGGGCCTCCTCCAGCTCTTCTATGCGCTCAGACTTCAGACGCAGGGTGTCCTTTAGAGCAGTAAGGGGGAAATTATGGTTTGTTAGAGAAACTTGAAAGTTTGTAACAGAACTGGTTAAATCACTGTTTTTTTTTTTTAACCGCACCTTCACCTGCGTGGAGCTCTCAGA